GTTCAAGGGCTCGGCATCTAATGAGCTGCTGTCCCAGCACCTCCCAGACAGCCCCTTCCACAGACGGCATGCTTTTGTGGATGTGAAGACGGCGACAACATAAAATAAACACTCGGGTTTTAGCGGTGGCCACGCCCTTTCCAGCAGCACCGGCGTCTGGGCCTCGTACAAGCCCTGCCCTCACCTGCCGGCCCGAGGTCAGGGCGCACCTTCCTGCCAGCCGGGATGGGGATGGCTGTGTGATCTGCTGCCTCCTTTTCCCCCTCCACTCCTACTCCGGCCCCTCAGCCGCTGGCTGGAGCCCTGTAGGTGAGGCAATGGGGACCAAGGGGCCGATAAGGAGAATGTCTTCAGCAGCCACAGGCCTGGGGAGCTGAGCGGATATTGATTCTGTCTACGGGAGCAAAGGGACCAGTTAAACTTCAGCTGTTAAATCACTCTGCCTAAAGCCAGCCATCTCTGCGGGTGGGCAGGGGACCTGGCAGGCAGGAGAGGGCTGGGGGTGGGGAGGACCAGCAGTGGCCAGTGCCCACTGGAGCTGTGCTCAGACACCCTGGCTCTGCAGCGTCGGCCCAGGGCCCAAGGCAGCCTGGCTGGGACCTCTGTGGCCCTGGTGCCCACAGGCCTGAGTCCAGCCACAGCCCACTTCTTGGCACCCTCTGAGCAAGGTTGCTGCCAGGCCTTGCTCACGCGGACCCCTCCCCTTCACCCCCTCCTCCGTATCTTAGAATCCCACTCAGTTTTCCGGACCCAGTGTAAACGGTATCTCTTCCATGAAGTCTTCCAGATTTCCACTCCCTACCCCCAACATCCTGAGAGAAGTGGGCTTTCCTTTCCCAGCCAGGACCCTGCCTGTCTTCTGACTTCAGCCATCTCTGCTATGCCAACCAGGACCCATAGGTCCACTGAAAGAGGACAGGTGTGCTTCGCCCCTCAGCTTCCACATACAGGTGATTCCCAGGAGTCCAGACACCCAGATGACCGTGAACTCCAGCTGGGGAAGACAGGGCAGGGAAGCGCTGTCTGAGCCATGGCGTGATGGCCATGCGGACGGGGCCGCCTGCGCCTGCCCCGGACTGCAGTCTCAGGTCCCTGTGGCAGATGTCAAGAGCTGCTCAATCGTGAATTGTTTCCTCTCCCTCCTGTGTGACACCCTGTCTGCCATTCCACTGCCTCAGAGTCCAGCTACCCACTCAGTGGAAGACCCCCCGCCTCCCTGGGCTGCCCAGCATGGACATGAAGCCAGGCAGCCTGGGACTTGAACCTCTGAGCTCCGCCACCTATGGCTCTGCAACCTGGGGTCAATCCCTACTCTCTCCAGGACTCATCAAAAACACAGACCGGAATGGTTGTGAGAATTAACTACTTCAGAGGCCCAGAGAGGGCCACTGGCTCCCTGGAGTCACACAGCAAGACAGTGGAAAAGATACCGGGGTTCCTGGTTCCCAGCCCCAGACCCCGCCCACCTGCAGCCTCTCTCAGGCCCGGGGTCCCGGGCGGGGGCCTGCCTGCATCCTGAGCAAGGCCTGGTCTGTGTAACCTGGCAGCTGGTTCCTGCGACTTGAGGGACAGCAGACCGTCTGCCTGCTCAGGGCCAGGCCTGGGCCCCCCATGTTTGTTCCACTGGCCCGACCTGGCCTCCCGAGGGGCCCTTATCTGCTTATTCTCTCCTTTCCCACAAAGCTAATCTCTCCCTCTTTTCAAGAGTCCCTGTTTCCTTTCTGCCGCCTTCTTGCCTCTCTCCCTGGCCGTTTCTCCCTTGTCTCCAGCAGGCCTCCCACTTGGTTCAGAAACTTCAACACTGCCGGTACTAGCATCTTCGGGAAGTTGCCACTTCTCAAGGGCTTTCTGGGCATCACAGAGCCCAGTCTGACACTGCAGGCTCTTACCACGGAGGGCCAGGGAGCAGGCACAGCCTGGGTCAGGACCCCTGCTGGTGACAAGCACCTGACACTACAGATCAACCCCTGGGCCTTTTGGGTTGGCTATTGGCCTCGATAGGACTTCTGGTGCAATGGTATGAGGATTTCACTCTAAAGTCCAAGGTACCAAGATTTTATGGTTCTAAGTCTCTGGCCACAATACAATCTGAGACACTAGAGTGCCTAGGTCCTGGGAGTCACGCCGGAGGAGGCCTCACCTGAGTGTGGGTGCAGCCCAGCAACATGCTTGCAACACCGGCCTGGCGGGAGGAGTGGTCCTGGGACCAGCTCTCCACCACAGCCTCCTTGCCTGGCCCCTGACCAGCCAGGAAGTCCAGGGGCTTCACTGCAGACCTGGGCACTGGCCGACAGCAGGTATATGAGGCCCACTGAGTCAGGGGCCCAGCTAGGTATCCTGCCCTGAGCCAGAAATGGTCTTCTGCCTTTTATGCTGCTCAGCCCACACCTCCTTAGAGGATGAGTGGGGAGGGGTTTGGTGTCAGACACCTGGGCTCCTGGCCCTGCCCTACTGTGAACCTGCTGTGCGATCTGGGCCAGTCAGCCCCTCTCACCTGTTAGATGGTGAGAGCCATACCCACCCAGGGTAGTACGATCAGCACAGCACACAGTAGGTACACAATAAAGGGTAGCATTTATATTTTATGACTTCCCTTTCTGAGAGTCATTCCGGGTCCTTGGTCTGGTTTCCTGTTTGCTGTCTTGGGCAGCCCAAACCCAACATTTCCAAGGCACATACTTGGCCCTGAGTGTACCACCCTTAGCCTGGGGATGCACAGGGGCACCGGGCTGGCTCCAGCTCATGAGAAGGCTCACACTGGTAGGGGAGGCAAACACAGACACAGCACAGACCTCTGTGACACCTTGACTCAGTGCAACACCAGACAGGAATGCAGAGAGCTATGGGAACTCAGGGGAGGCCATTGACCCAGGCTGAGGATGTTCAGGGAAGGCTTTCTGGAGGAGAGAACCATTTACACGGGCCTTGAAAGAAGAGCAGGCACTGCGATCGTGAATGCCACAACTGCTTTAAAGGTTCAAAGAGTTGCCCTGGCCGGGTGGCTCAGTTGGTTGGAGCACCATCCCACACGCCAAAAGGCTGTGGGCTCAATCCCTGGTCAGGGCACACACCTAAGGTGTCAGGTTTGATCCCCAGTCCGGGCATGTACAGGAGGTAACCAATCCATGTTTCTCTCTCACGTCGATGTTTCTCTCTCTCCCTCCCTCTCTCTAAAATCAATAAAGACACATTCTCAGGTGAGGATGAAAAATAAAATAAAATAAAGGCTGAAGGGTGTTGGGAGCCTGAGGGAACTGGGGAAGGCTTTGCGGGTGTGCTGTAGAAGCTGAAGAACAGAAGATGCCCAGAGGTGGGCCAAGCAGAGGAGGCGCGTGGGGAGTTGCTGGAAATGTGGCTGGAAGTCACCTGGGGCCTGGGGGAAGGGCCTCGAGCACCAGGGCAGGGAACTGGGCATTGGTTTTGTGGACCCCTGGGGGCCAGTGAAGGCTGTGGAGCAGGGGCAGCCCCGGGCCAGTGAGAGCGCACACTCCAAGGGCTTGTTCAGTGGAGGCTAACTGGTTTCTGCAGAGATGCTGGTGGGAGCCCTGCCCAGATGCTGGTGGGAGCCCTGCGCTGGGCTGTCCTGCAACCCCACCTCAGCCCGCAGCCCTTATTGGCTCTGTGACCACAGGAAAGGCCCCTCCCTTCTAGGAATTTCCTCATCTGCAAAACAGATGCACAGGGACCAAGATATTTATCTCGGAATTCCTTTCAGCTAGGATTCTGTCACCGTGGCTGCCCCCCCGCACACTTCCAGGCAGGGACTTGGAGGATGGCCCACCCCGTGATGGGTCTGGCCTCTCAGTGCATCCACCACACCCCACCCGGGGTGCCTGCTTCGCTTCACTGAGTCCAGGCACCCAGGCTGCCCTGCGCTCTAGCCACTGCAGGTTGCATCTCCGTCCACATGCAAAGAAGCTCAGTTGGTAAAGCCTCCTACATCCTGTGTCTCATGTGGTCACCCACAGCCAGACTGAGACACAGGTGACTAATAATTGTCTCCGTGTGGGGGCCTCCCATGGGCCAGGCCCCAGGAGACTCTCCCCTTGTGCTGAGTGCTGTCCCTGAGACCGGAAGTGAGGCTGACACTCAGAGAGGGACAGCATTCTGTCGTCACTGGGCCAGCGCAGGGACCCTGGGGTTTCTCCCACTCCCTGGTCGTTGCTTCTCAGTTTCTATGCTTTTCTTCTTCATCTCCCTGACCTCAGAGTGGGGGTGCCAGGCATAGGCCTTGGGGACTCTTTGTCTCCCTGTCATAGCCCTCAGTGCTGAGGCCTCACGGTGCCCCTCGCCACCAGCCTCTCCCCGGAACCCCGGAACCCCAGACCTGAACATCTGCCCATCTACTCAGTGTTCCCCCGTGGCACTGGAATCACCATCTCCATCTCCAAGGTTCCAGGTCTGAACCCAGTCCTCTGTGCACCCCATCTTAGCACTCTCCCCAGTGCTTGGCCAACCCCCCCCCCATCCTTCTCCATCTTCCTGTTCCTCACACCCACAGCCATGAAGAGAACAAATCCTGGCAGAAGCCCACAGGGACCCCACCGCTCTCTCCACACCCACCAACCTTACTCTCCACCACCCCATTTTACAAATGAGGAAACCGAGGCTTCTGGAGGGGAAAAGGTTTCCCCACAGTCACACAGAAAAACCACAGGCTTAACTGGAACCCGAGTCCGTGTCCCCAGCATCCCCTGGGTTGGGTTTTCCCTTGAAGCTAGCTTAGCAGGCCCGTCGACACAGCCACGCTGTGTGCGTCTGTGTGTGTCCCTGAGGAGCAAGGAATCTGCCAGCTGGGTTTATGTTTCAAGACCTCTGTCCTTGCCCTTGACCAAGAGATCTTACAGGGAGACTAGGGCCAGAGCCCCAGAGCCGGGTGGGGTGGGGGGGGGAGGAACATCAATGAGAAGCCGCCCTGCCTGGAAAAGAGAGCCCCCACGCCAGCGCCAGGGTCTGCTGAGCTCCCCTGAGGCCAGACACTGCAGGGGCGGGCTGAGGTTCTTTCAGCATTTATTTCATACAGCTGTTTAAAAGGCTTGTTTAAAATATAGATCATTATATATATATATTTATATATATAAAATATATAAAGAGGAATTGAGGCAAGCCACCCCAAAGGAAAACCTATGTTTTATAAATATTTCTGTAGCTCCCACATCCCAGAGGAAAAAAGAAAACAAAACAAAAAAAACATTTACAACCCGAGCTAGTGGTTCCATGTGGTGGGCCCAGCAGGCTCAACCCTGGGGGCCCGGGGAGCCCGAGGGCTGGGCCTGCAGACACTCTGATGAGGGCAGACAGACCCCTCTTCCTTCCCGGGAGACTGGTGATCTGGCTGTGAAAGGTCAAGTCCACACCAGTCTTGCCAAACCCATGCCCCTGGCTTCTTCCGCCAGCCTGGAAGGCAGCAAGCGGGCACTCCAGGGCCTCCGGCTGCCAGGTTATTTTTAATCTTGTTGGTTTCCTTTGATGTTCCGGGCTCCTTCTGTTCCCGGTGGCTTCCAAGGGGAAGCACAAACCGCCTCCAGTGCCTGGCATCTGGAATTCACAAGCAGAAATCTACGGGGTGTCTCCAGGCCCCCCGGTGGGCCTTGGCAGGCCCCCGGGAGCCCCCACGGGCGCAGGCAGGCCTCACTTGCAGACGTAGCGCTCCACCATGCGCTCGCACCTGCGGCAGGTGACGTAGCAGCACCAGTGATACTTGCAGTGGCACCGCTCGACCACGCGGTCTGTGTAGGGGTTGTAGCCGCGTCCACAACACATGAGGTCGCAGCTGTCACTGCCGTGGGACGTCTTGTTGCATTGCCTGGGGGGAGGAGGGGCAGTTGGTGAGCACTCCCATCACCTCCAGCCCCACACTCCCAGCCTGGCGGCCCACAGCCCCCTGCGCCGTGGCTGCAGACTCAGTTCCCCCGTGGAAGGGATCTCGGTCTCGGGGGGTTTTAAGTAACCCTCTTCTGTAAGGCTACTGCTCACTTTGCCTTCTCTTTCTAATAGGCATTTATCAAAATGATGGGAGTGTTGTATTTGGTGGGGGTGTCTTTTTTCCTATTTCTTCCACTTCTAAATACCTGAAGGAGCCTCAAATCACTCTAATCCTCTTATCTTCACAATATTTGTTATACTGTGATGAATGTAAAGATCGCTCTTACTTTTAGGATCCCAGGCTGAATTCTGAAACAGACAGCATGGTGCTGGATGTGAAGCAAAGCGGGGCCTGGGCACAGGTCCCTGGGAGCGTGGGTCTGGCACCCACTCGTCCCCGCGTGCCAGGTACTTTTCTCCACTACTTTATCCTACTGCAGGTGTGCAGGGTCCTAGGGCTGCTGGAATTATCATGCCCATTTTCCGGGGGGAGACAGGCCCTGTGAATGAAGGGCAGAGGCTTGTGCGGGCCTCACAGGAGTCTGTGGGTAAGCAGGGGCTGAGCTCGGGGCTCCCGAGACTAAGTCCAGGGCGTGTTCCCCCAAGAGAGTCCAGGGCTGCGTTTGCTCCTGAATCCTGCGTGTGGGACAGGAAGACACAGAAGGTCCCCAGAAAACCCGCATATCCCATTGCCACCAGTTCTGCTGTCGGTGAAGAGACATCTGTGCAGGGTGGCCGTCCCTCTAGCGGGAACAAGGATGTCACCATGGGACACAGTTGGGTCTCCACAGCCCTGTGGACCGAGGAGTCCCAGAATGTCCGAGATGGACAAGCCCTAGAGATGACCAATCCAGCCCTCATATTTCCTGATGGGGAAACCAAGGCACAGCATGGGGAGAGGGGACTTGCCCAAGGTCACACAGGGGGAGCTGGGGGTTGGTGAGAGCTCAGGATGGCCACCTGAGGCCGAGCTGCCCAGGCCATCCAGTAAAAGAAGAGCAGGAATCTAAGATGAGAGGAGAGGAGGGGAGGGGAGGGGACAGGAGAGGAGGGAGGGGAGGGGGAGGGGAGGGGAGGGGAGGGGAGGGGAGGGGAGGGGAGGGTGTTGGGTGCACAGAGGCCCGACAGCCCTGACCCCCCCCCCCCCCGAGCTAACAGGAGTGAGAGAACAGACGGAAGGGCAGGGGCGGGAGGCTGGGGTGTCCGGGAGGAGGTGGGCAGCAGCTGAGTGGGGGCCGAGCCCTCAGCTGGGGAGGCCCGTGTGGTGGGCAGGAGGGGAGCAGCTGATGGGGGGAGAGTCAGGAGGTGCCGGTGAACCGCATGGGGGCTGCAAACAGTGTCAGGCAGGAAGCTGGAAGGGACGGCAGGAAGAACACATACCCCAGAGCCAGAAAGACCTGGGTTCAAACCCCAGCTCTGTCCCTACTGGCTGTGTGACTTAAGATGAGTCATTTAACCTTTCTGGGCTTTGTTTCATCATTCGGCACCATCAGTGCCCCTCAACCTTAGCTTGAAGGAAAGGGTGTGGGAGGGGGCAGAGTTCCCTTTTTACTCTGGGAACCTGACGGGCAGTGTCTGAAAACCTGGCCTCCAACCTCGGAGCCAGACAGAGCTTGAGGTGGTGACTGGGACGGGGGAGGCAGGAGCGGGGGCCTGGAGGAAGGGTCGCCGCCCCAGGGAAGACTCCTGGGACACCTGAGTCCCAGGGAACCAGCGGCACAGGCCATGAGAGGGCAGCTTTGTGGGTGCAGGGGCCTCTGGAAGAAAGAGGACCGAGGGCTGGGGTTCAGAATACCGACAGCCGCAGACGCCTCAGTTCGTCAGGGTGGGCTTGAGGCGGGTGCCTTCCCCAGCGAGGGGGCCAGCCTCTGCACACACATGCCTCTGACAGTTAAAAAGGCTCATTTACATCCAACTCCCTGCACCCCCAAATGTCCTAGCCTGGTAAAGCTTCCATTTTCCCTCCTCCAGGAAGCCTTCCTTGATGCCCACACTGGGCCAGGGCCCCTCTGGGCTCCCCTCTGTCACAATCTGAACACTTGATGTCTCTCCTCCTGCCCAGTGCTTGTCAGACCCCCAGGTCGTGAGTGTGGGCCATGCCTGTGGTCGGAAGCTGCTGAGAGAGCAAGGCTGTGTGTTACTGCAGAATACACTGACCCAGACGGATGTCTGCAAAGGCTCCCAAAAGAGTGGCTGAGAGCTGAGCACGGCAGGAAGCCTGGGTTGGGGGCGGCATTCTGAGAAAGCAAGGGAGCCAGCTGGTGCTGTGGGATGGGCCTCCCCACCAGCAGTGTGAGGGCAAATCCTAGGGGTAGAGTTGGGGGAGCTGGGAAAGAAGAGGCCTGGGATGGGAAGAGGGGAGGGGAGACTGCCACCAGTGAGCCCTTCCCTGGAGAGTGACACTGCCTGGCACAGAGGAGCACTCCGTATGTGCAATGACAGCTCACTTGCCACCCCTCCCAGGTGTGTGCTATCCACCCCACTGCTCAGAGGAGGAGGCAGAGCCTCAGATGAGTGGAGGGATTTGCCAGCTCGGAAACTGCAGAGTGGGGGTGAAAAGTGTCCTTTCCCAGCACACACACAGCCCCCAGTAGATCCAGGGAGACCCTCTCTTTGCTCTGAGGGAAAGGACACTCCAAGGGAAAGGAGTCCTTGATGGGCTTCCATAGCCCCTCTGGGTTCTAGAATCCTCCTCCCCACCCGCCTCCCTCGTCAGACCCACCCTGCCTGCCTCGCTCCTTCCCATCCCCCTGGCCTGACCCAGTTCCATCTTCACTCAGCCCGACCCCTCAATCTGGCCTCCAGATGGGAGCCCGGGCCTCCTCGCAGGGCCTGCCGCCCTGGTCTGTGAAGACAGAGCCCCCCGAAGCAGCCCCCCTCTCCTGGAGACAGGAACGTGGGCTGCGGAGGAAGCAAATGCTGGCCGGGCACCAACTATGTGCCAAACACATTCTCAGACACCCTCGCTCTGGTTCAATATTCTTTTAACCCCGCGGAACACTCATTTTGTGGAATGCTATTAGGGGCTCCTTAATAAAAGAGTTCCACAGCCAAACACCTCTGGGAAACACAGCTTAGACAGGCCCTTTACTGTGGGACTCCTCCCAGCCTTTAATATGTTCTCGTGCCTTGTGAGTCGCCAGAAAGTTTCCCAGATGAACACGATCGTGGAGCTGTCTCTATCGTAGCTTCTCAGGACCGGCTTCCTACAGAATTATCGCTGGGCAATGCTGCTCCCCACTTGCCCCGGCCGGCACACAGTAGGTCTGCAGACATCTCTGGCTCCCTCCCTCTCTCCTGTCCTGAGCCAGCTCCAGCAACCAGGATGGGGCCTGTTGTAGGGACCCAGGCCCGGCTCTGAAAGTGGGGGCCAGCGGGGGGGTGCGTGTGTGTGGAGGAACAGGGGGCCACTATCTCCGTAAGGAATGCAGTCAGCCCTTCCCCTCCCGCTGCGCCTCTGGAAAGCGGCTGCCCGAGTTCTGGCTCCACTCTGGGCAGACCGCCTGTGTCGCTGTGGGCCGGCCGCTGGCCCCACTGCCCCTTTGGTCCAGTGAGCAAGTTGTATGACGTTTATCTTTCACGTGTTCATCTGGCAAACATTTACTGAGGCTAGTCCCAGTCTGTGTCTCTTCCCACCTGTCTCCCAACTTGAAGGAAGGTGGGTGGGGGCTTCTCGCCAACCTCCATTCCCCAGGGGCCCCGGCCTTGGCGCGGCACACAACAGTTACTCCCAGAGGCTCTGCCAGGGGTCCCTTGAGCCCCGGCACCTCCGCTCACTATTCCTGGGGCCACCTCTCTCAACAGGGCATGGACTCCATTCCCCAAATGCCAACTGAGGCCTGGCTCTGTGCCTGGCCCGGAGCTGGGATGGGGCCCCTTCCTGCCAGGGAGGCGGCAGGCCCTTACCTGTCTTGCGTCCCGTGGGAGCCCACCTTCTCGTTCTTCATGCAGAAGTCGGGCGAGCTCTGCAGATAGACAAGCTCCGAGTCCTTCACAGGCCGGATGTCCAAGTCCTTGGGCACCAGGTGCTTGCGGGTGCCCATGGGTCGGTGCACCACCTTGGTGGCCGACAGATAGCGGGTCTTCAGGTCACTGGCCACGTCCCGAAGCTCCTGCAGCCCCTTCCAGCAGGTGCGGATGGAGCAGGAGCCAGATACCCCGTGGCACTTACACTTCACCTCCAGAGAGGCGCGCAAAGCCTGCGGACAGGGGGCGGCGTCGGGCTGGGTGGCCGGGGCCCTGTCCCTGGCCTGCCTTGGGACTCTGCGCCCCGCTCCTCCCATGTCCCATGCTGGGCGCTCTCAGGAGTCATTGACTGTTCTGAACCTCAAGCGACAGGGCTTGTTGCTCAAAATCTGGGGGGCATTGTAGGTTCTCAGCTCCTCCTCCCCACTGGGGGTCAGCTGGGAGGTGCAGGAGGAGCGTGGCACCCGCAGGGTGACAGACGCCATTCGCACACCCAGGGCTCTAACACACAGCGTGGCTCGGTCATCGCCCAGCCCATCACGGGGGGCGGGGGGGTCCTAACCCCCAGCGTGCAAAGAGGAAATGGAGGCTCAGACTCAGGCATGAGGTTGCACAGCCAGGAAACCTGGAAGCTGGGATTTGAACCCAGGTCTGGGGAGCGATCCCAAAAGCCATGGTTTTCTATAGGTCCTCACTTTTTCTCTCACACAAAAAACTGGGGGGAAAGTCTGGGGGAGGAGAAGGAAGAGAGGTGGGAGAGAGGGCTGAGGAAGGAGGGAGGGAGAGAGGGAAGCGGCAGGAGGTGGCCCTCCCCTCCCTGGCCCGGCCGACCCCCCTCCGCTGTGAGCACCCTGCGGCCGCGGCACCTCTCAGCGCCTTTCCTTCTGTGTGTGGGGTCGACATGCAGTCGGCACCTTGTGTAGTTGTGAGAACTCAATGAAATGGCATTTACGAAAGGGCTTTGTGAACCATAAAATTTAAATCCATATTGGTTTTGAAAAATCAGTCTAAGTAATAATTTGGTAGAGGGACAAGGCTTTGGGCTTTGGGGCTCGGGGAGACTCTGGCCCTGGCTTCGGAAGTAATTCTGCCCCACCACCTTCCCTGGGCCTCAGTTTCCCCATGTGTATGGGGGGGGGTGAATTTGATCCTTTTGGTTCTGCCCTTCCACCCCCGCATCTCTGCACACGGGACTCAGCTCAGCATGCCCAGGCCGGCCCTCCTGCCTGCCCTGTGCAGACAGTCGCAAGACTTATATGTCCCCTGGGCCTACTCCCTGCACCAAAAAGACGAAGAAACTGAGGCACAGAGAGAGCAGGGACTTGCCCCAGATCCCTCAGTGAGTTAGTGAGGGTACTGGTCAGGGTCCCGGCTTCTTCCCCCTCACAGGTGCAGGGAGCGGGGAATGACGGAGCCCATTCAGGTATAGAATCTGGAGCGGGCTCAGCGCGGCCTGTGACGAGCTCAGGAAGGAAGTGAACGCCACTGCGGGGCGCGTTCAGCCGCCCCAGGCGGGGCGGTGCTTCTGAGTCCTGAAGGAGAGGTGAACTGTGTCCAGGCCCTCAGCTCCAGTGTGCCAGCACGAGCACCCTGCAGCTGAGATGCCATTTACCCCTCACGGCCCTCGGCTTGGGGGAGGGGGACCAGAGAGGCCGGCTCTGGGCATCTGGGCCTCAGGGTAAGTCCAGTGTGACCCTGGGCTGAGAATGCTGTTTGGACTGTGAGGCGCGAGCCATGGCTGTGCTGCTGGTGGAGGTTTGGGCCTGGCCGTGGGTGGGAGCAGGGCTGGCTTCTTGCACTAGGGGCTGGGTGAAGGGCTCCCGCTGAGTTTCCAAGGATGGGGGCCTGGACCCCCAGGGTCAGAAGCTGGAGTCCTGGGTCTCTGGCCAGGCTTTAGTACAGACCCATAGTGTGACTTGGCCTCAGTTTCCCCAAATGTCCCTTACACAAGGGAGACCAGTGAGAAAGGAAGGTGAGGACACAGAAACCTCTGGACTCAGAGTCCCACAGACCTGGGCTCCACTGTGCCCTGTGTCCTTGACTGGGCCACCTCAGCTCTTTGTGCCTCACTCGGTGCCTCTGTGAATGGGGCCTGGCACAGGGCTGCGGGGAGGAGGCCGCGAGATGCCACCTGCAGCCAACCCCGCCCCTCCAGGCCCGTCTCCATCTCTAAGAAGAGACAGCAGCACCTCCTCACAGGTGGTTTGTGGGCCACAGGAGAGAAAACTCACCAAGCACCCAACACAGGGCTTGACATACAGACTAGTGTGAAGTTGTTGTTTTTTAATTGTCAAAAAATAAAAGGTCTATTCATTCACTCACCCAATCTTTTGTGAAATGAGGTAAGGAATTAAGGAAAAATTGATAACAGATGTTGGGGGAAACTGTGTTTGGGAGGTTAGGGTGGGTTTTGGAGCCAGGAGGGAGTCCCCGTTAGGTCCCAGGAGACGATGCCTTAGGCTAAGGCTGGGCTGCGCCACAGCCCCCTCTGCATCTCCTCCCACGCCCAGAGGAAGGGCTGGAGGAACACGGCCAGTAGGGACTCAGCACCAAGCCCTCCACTGACAACGGGAGCAACCAAGGCCGGACACTTGCACGTGGAGCCGGGGTGGGAACTAGGAGCTGCTGACTCCCAGCTCAGTGCTCCTTCTTCTCTGCCCACATTCTCCAACCCAAGTCCCAGTGGACCCCCTGGAGGAGGAGGAGCCAGGCGAGCCCCAAGCAGCTGGAGAGGGCAGAGCTGCAGGAGGCCGGGAGCACATCAGAGTGGGTGTATCAGGGCCCGTGCGCCACCCCCACCCGCTACCCCCCCATCGGGGCACACTGGGTGGCCTTTTCTGGCACAAGCGCAACCATCTGGGGGTGGGGGGTGGTTACCTGTCGCCCCACTTCACTGTTGTGTAGACGCATCAGTTTATTGGCTTGGGATCCTGTTTTTTTCACCTTCATAGGAGCATCGGAAAACTTGGCCCCCATGAGGAGCCCGTAGCTGAGGTTGTCCGCACATCCTCCCCAGCGGTTCCCGGGCCCGGGTGGCTCACCTGGGACGGGGCCGCAGGAGCAGCCGGGCAGGTCGCCGGAGGTGCAGGCCCGGGCGATGGCGTGGCTGATGGCGGCTGCCGACAGCGCATACACGAAGGCGGACTCCCGGGTCCCTGTGGGAAAATGCGGGTCAGCCACTGGGGGTGGCCCAGGGCTGAGGCCTTCTCCTGGGCCCAGGAATCAGTCTCCTGCACATTCTCCCACACACACACTTGCACACACACACACATCCACACAGGCCTGCAAGGCCCCTCCACACACAGGCACACCCTCACCCCACCTACTCATGACCCTGTACTTCCCCCACCTGCTCTGTGCCCAGTGCCAGGGGCTGGTGTAGGGAAAAGAAGGCCTAGTCCCTGAGCTCCGCCAAGAGTTCATGGCCTGAAGGGCAAGGTGAGTGTGCAGAGAGCCTGCTATGGGTTGAAGTGTGTCCCCCAAAAGACCCGCTCGAATCCTGACCCTTCAAACCTGTGAATGAGACCTTATTTAGAAACAGGGTCTTTGCAGGTGTAACAGAGCTAAAATGATCAAGGCAGGCCCTCATCCAATGCCCGGTACCCTTAGAGGGAGGGGGGATTTTGGGGTCCAACACACAGAGGGAGAAGGCCAAGTGACAAGGACAGAGACTGGGGCGATGCAGCTCCCAGCCCAGGAACAATGAGGACCCTCCGCCACCACTGCCTGAACCTAAGAGGAGGCCAGGAAGACCCACCCCTACACCCCGAGACAGAGCGCAGCGCTGCCTACCCCGCGATCTCAGACTGCCAGCCTCAGCACTGTGAGACAGCACATTTCGGCTGTTTGAACCAGCCCCACCCTCTCATTTGCAGTTCTGTTACTGCAGCCCCAGCAATGGAGCCCGCTGTGCCTCGGCGGTGGGGTGTTTTGGCCTTGGGTCTGAGCCCTGGGTCCATCCCTTTACTAGAGAGTCACTTCCTCTTCTGGAGCTTCAGCCTCCCTAACTGTGGGATGGGGCGGGAATGCCTACCTCCCAGGCCAACTCTAGAGTTCAGCTAATTCGGGAAGGAAGGAAGCTTCGTCGAGTGCCCCACAAATACCACTGTTACTGCGCAGAGCACAGATTAGGCCCATTAGGGCATTTCTGCCCATCAAAGCCTCTCTGTCAAGCCCACGATCCCCAAATCCACCCCGGACCTCCTCCAGGAAGTCTCCTCCACAGATGTCCTTTAGTCCGCACATCATTTTGTGCATCTTGCGGTGACTGGCCTAGAATCATTTGTGAACACCAGCCTGCCCCAGAGGTGGGCTCCAACACCCTGTCTGGCCGTCCCCCCAGCCCCCAAGAGCTGCTCTGGGATCATTCAAGCCTCACTCATGCTTTAGAGTGCACGTGCCTTTATGCTGCCATTCCGGCTCCCCATGCTGCTATATCCACTCGCTCCGTGTTTACTCATTCATCAGTTCCTGCCTCAATACCCAGATCCGTGATAAATTCACCCACCCATCCATCCATCCACGCCTCTGACCTTCCATGTATCCGTCCATCATCCATCCATCCATTCACTCACCCACCCGTTGCATATTCATCCATCCATCCACCCGTGACTTCGCCCACCTATCTAAACACATACATTTATGCCCGAATTCACCCATCCCCGCCCGTAAGCATTCCGCAGGCCCTAGCAGCCCCTGCTGGCTCCCTACCTCTCTCCAGGTCAAGCAGGTAGTTGGGGGCCAGCTCGATGGAGGAACAGTTCCAGCGCATGTCGGCGAAGGCCCTGCGGCAGGCCTTCATGACCTCGCGGGCGGCGTGTACAATGGTGTGCATGAGCTCCAGGTTGCTGCGGCACAGCTGCACCTGCGCGGACACCAGGCCCTCCAGCTGCTTGCAGTGCTGTGTCTGGTTCAGCGCCAGGGCTGCCGGCGTCTTGGACAGCGCCCTGTGCACAGCCCAAAGGCAACAACAATGAAAGGAAAGACACGGGTGTGAGGGACCACATTGCCTCCACCCATCTACTGGCCCCAGCCTCTCCCAGGAGCCTTCGCTAGAAAAAGCAGCTAGGAAACCAGGAGGCAAAGCACCGTCCAGGGCAGAAATATGGCTCCTCCTCCCACCCCACTGTGACCTTGGGTACATCGTTGTCCCTTTCTGGGCCTCAGGCTCTCATTCATAATGTAGGATCATGACCTCCATCCTACCTAAGCTTTATCATAACTCCACTCACAATAACTTCACAGCGTGAAAGGTGCTCACACCTACTGCCTTTATTCAGTGCTCACATAGCTATGAATTATTCCTCCTTACTAAACATCCACTCAACACTAAGCACTCAACAGACACCATGCTAAGTGCTATATTTTATAATCATCATCATCTTAATATGTATTAATTAAACATTTACTAGGTGCACAACATGAGTTAGGAGCTCCGTGCCATTGCTTCATTTAATTGCTAAACTCCCTAATTAGGTTAGAAAGTCCGACACACACGCAAGGGACTGTTGTGAAAGGGTTCGAGAGCCACTCATTATGTGATAGAACAGACTTGGCCGTTAGTTTGCTGTGCAACCTGAGACAAACCGCTGTCTCTCTGGGCCTTGGTGTCTGTCCCCGTAAATACACTTCCAGTCCAGTGAGACACTCTGAAAAAAGGGGACCAGTGGCTGAGCACACTTAGGACACGTGACACACTGTGTCCCTGAGAAACGCAGCAGCAAAGCAACAGCCTTGGGTTTAACGCTCGTCTGCTGGGCACAGAGCCCTCTGAGGAGGGCTGGCCTCTTCCACCCTGGGGCAATGCTGGCCAAGGGGGGCTCTCTGAACACTGGTGGTGCCAGGGACCTAAGGGCTTCCCAGATCCTGGCCCTGACACTCCTGGGATGTGCCAGATCCTGGCACTAAAGGGATGGACCCCCGGGATTCCAAGACCCAGGGACCGTGGGTCCGCGCTGGATCTGCCTTTCCCCCAGGCCTTCTCTGAGGAGCAGACTGCATCGGCAGCACCTCCTCCCTGGGCAGGCAAGACAGACCCCCAGCTGTAAAGGGTTTCACGTAGACTAGCCCCCTGCCCTCAGCACCCCAGCAGAGACCCTAGAGGGACAGTCCCACCTCCCCAGCCACAAGCAGTGGAGCAACCGCCTCCGGTGCACGGAGCAGACCTCAGGCAGGTTTCCAGATGGCACTGAGCGTCCGTCCGCTCTTGCCTGAGCCACTGAGGCCGGCCCCTGCTGGTGCACCTGGGGAACCTGGTCTGAATTCCCACAGCCCACGCTGGGTGAGGCGTGAGCACACGGAGGCAGAGCCGTCCCCTCCGAGGTGACCCCTCCCCCCCACCGAGCAGCCACTGTCTACAGGTGCGGCACCAGCTTGCACAGCCTCTCGTGTGCTGCCTCCTCCTAACTCACCACACCTGGAGGAGGGGGCCTGGACAAGATCATTATCGTCCCTGTACAGAGGGGGACACTGAGGACACGCAGGGCCTGTGTGCTCAGCCTTCTCCTGACACCGTCCTCCTGCAGACCTGCCCCCAAAACTCCCTTCCTGGTCCTCCCTTCATGCAGGGCTGGGGGCCGCGCACACTCAGCTGTCCCGAGCTGCTCCGCCCTCCCTCATCCAGCTTTCTTCTTTCCCCTCTGAGTCAGTGATCTGTTCCGCAGCAGGTAAGATTACATGAGATACACCTGGAAACCCCCTGTGCCGGACCCAGCACTCAGTGTGGGCTGCCTCCCTCCCGGGTCTTCTCCCCGCGTCCCTGCTCAGGCCAAGAAGTGGGGGAACATGAGCCCAGCCTTTCCTGGGTTGCTCAGTCCAGGCAATTCCTGAATGCCCCGGGCTGCAGCTCCCAGGAAGGTGTGCTCTGTCCTCCTGGTGCCTGGGGACCCTGGGCCACTCGGCCTGTTCACCTCTGAAGTCATCAAGCATCTGCCTTGGCAGCTGATGGTGAGAGGAAGTGCCTTGAGGGACACCACAGTGAGGACGCTCCCATACAAGGCTGACTTCCCAGGTGGGTGGTGGAAAAATAGGAGGCCCCTGGTGGGCGCAGGATGGAGGCTGGGAGCTGCTGGAGAGAGTGGCTGGTACAGAGTGGGCTGGTGGAAGTGGGGGAGGGTGGGGGGAGGACCGCCCACGGGAGCGTGCAGGCCGGGAGATCGGGAGGTGGGAGGCAGCAGATTCCACTCCTGCGGAGGGAGATTCGGTCATCTGGTAATTAGTGGTAATGACTGTATCTAACTAAGTCCCCCTCGGGGAGGTAATCAAGGATTAGGGCGGGAGGTGGGGGAGTCACCCGTCTGGACATCTCCGCGGCGAGCCTCACTGCAGCAGACCCCTAATTGAAAACATTTTGGCTTGTCTGGGGGTGGGGGCATGGGAGGGAGGGTGGAAGAGAGGACAGGAGGGAACCGAGAGTTCATGGGCAAGGCCTGTGCCAAGGGCGCTGTTCGGGCGGCGAGGTCTCGTCATTCGGGGGTTGGCGGTTCTGAGAAAGTCTAGCGGGCAGTTTCAGTCCCGGCTCAGCTGCTCACCCAACTTGTCCCCATCCCATTGTGTAAGGAGGGACAAGGAAGCCCAGAGAAGGGCAGGGCTTGCCCAGACCTGTAGGCAGCCAGTCAGCAGCCGGGCCAGGCCAGGGGCCAGGCCAGAACCCAGGCCGCCCGGCTCCCAGGCTGGGGCTCTCCACTCCCACGTCAGAGAATAAACTGGTGCTCAGAGAGGCTGGGCTCCGGCGGCCCTGGTCTCCCAGCTCTGGCCTGGTGCTCCTCCCACCGACTCTGCAGCCGCTCTGTCCCTTCTGGAGACTCCTGGGACTCCTCCATGAGAGGCCCGGCTGGAGTCAGCAGCAGGCTTGAGGCTGCCCAGGCAAGGTGGGTGGCCTCTGTGGGCCCTTCCAGGAACCCTGGGTCTTTCCCCTACTGACAGCCCCCAGGGGTTCTCAGGAGGCTGGAACCTGCCTTCCCTTCCCACCCTCCCCTACCCCAGGACAGCCAGAGAAGGGGGTGGACGGCCCACCTGGGCTCCCCCACACCTGCTGGTCTGAGAACATCCCAGCAGCTGACTTGGGTGGGAGGTGAGGTCATAGAAGCCCCCCCCAAGTTATTTCTTGTCAGTTGCTTCCATAAGCTGCCAGGCTCCGCCCCCCCTCTCCCTTACCCTCCCTCCCATTGGGGAAGCCAGTCTCGTCTCAGGTGCCCAACAGGCGAGCACTCCAGGTCGCTGGCCACACCTGGCTTCAGCTCCTGTGTCAAATGGCCCTTCCATCTTTAGCTCACTTTCCAAAACACAAGGTAGCAGCCCCCCCAAATCCCTCACCAGGGCAGCCCCGGAGAGCTGGGCCTTCCTGGATGAGTCCCCAGCCTCCTCTCCACACTGAACACTTCCCTGTTCCCAACTGCGCAGTGGCTGCCTGGACGATCCACAGGCCACAGAGCCACAGCCTAACCCGCCTCTGCTATGACAGCCTGCCAGTCAGAGAGTCCTTGTGGCTCCATTTCCTCCTCTGTTTGATGGGGATTCGAACGAAGCCACACACACAGAGTGCTGAGACCAAGCCTGGCATGCAGCAAGGTCACACACAGGTGACCCTTGAACAGCCCACGGGACAGGGAGGCCAACCCCACAAATGCAGTAAAAAATCTGCATGTAACTTTTGACTCGCCCAAAACTTAAAGTTGTCCCTCAGCACCCATGGAGGACTGATTCCAGGCCCCTTGTGGACACCCAAGTCCACAGATGCTCACGGCCCCCGTGTAAAGCAGTGCAGGTCAGCACATCCAGCCAGCCCTCCACACTGAGGACTCGCAGCCACAGGCGGGAACCGGCATGGCGATTTACTGAAAGAAACCCACGGGTGCATGGGCCTGTGTCGTTCAAACTCATGTTGTTCAAGGCTCAACTGTATATATACATATGTGTGCACATGCACTAGTGTTATTCACTTTTTATATTGAGAAAGTGAGAGGGAAAGATGGATTTCCTGTTCCACTCACTGATGCACTCATTGGCTGAGTCCTGTATGTACCCTGACCAGGATCAGACCCGCAACCTTGGCATATTTGGATGATGCTCTAACCAGCTGAGCTACCGGCCAGGACCTATGGTTGTTATTCTTAAATTCCACTCCTCCTGCTTCCCCCTCTATTTTCAGCTCCAGCAAGAGTTAAATCACTGTCAAGAGGTTTGGCTTCATGGAGGCTGTCTGCTTGGGTCCCCGGATCTCACAGCCACTATTATCTAGCTGTGTGACCTTGCATCAGTTACTTAACCTCTCTGCACCTTTACCTCCGAATTTGTAAAAGGGTACTGATAAGAATATCACCTACCTCTTGACTAAAGCTCTAGACCAGTGCCTGGGACTCACTAGTAGGCCCCTGCAATTCCTTCTCTCTCTGTTTCCCCACATACGTCCTGCCTCTGTGCTCTTGCCCTGGCTGTTCTTCCCACCTCAGGTGCCTGCTTTGCATTCCATCCTCAGCCATTAAAGTCCTATCTACCCTTCAAAGCCCAGTCCAAAGTCCTACCCTAGGTGGGAAAACTGCATGTCTTCTGGGCTCCCATGCTCTCTGAGGACACAGCCCAAAGTCCACTTAGGGTTTTTTTTTTTTTTACATGTCACCTCCCCAAGAGGTTAGGAAGCCCTGTAAGGCAGACACTGGGTTGTGCCCATTTTTGCAGCAGCCTGAGCTACGCGGTGGGAACAGCATGCTCCGTAGTCCAGGCTCTCCTCAGCCACATACTAGCCCGGGAGCTGCGCATGTGTGACACTCCGCAGAGTCCTAGCGGCCCCACTGTGGCCAGGAATGATATCTGTGTCCCTCGCAGCGCTATAGGAACAAGCTCAGCTCAGCCTGCCATTACTTTGCTCCTTGGTAAATGCCTTCCCTCCCCGGGCCTCAGTTTACGCATCTGTAAAATGGTGGTGGTGGGTGAGAAGGGCCTGGACTCCCCGGTCAGAGGTCCCCACCAGCTGGGACAGGGCCAGGTACAGGCAGTAGAAGGAAGGTTGATGATTTCTTACAAAACTAGTGAGGAGCGGCTGGAAGGCTGCTGAGCACAGGCTTCCTGCAAACGAAAAATGCAGGAGGATGGGGTTTCCCTCTTGATTAGCCAATTAATTGATGACTCAGCTTCACAAGGGGTAGGGCTGATGACCGCAAGACTACTTGTTGCTCCTGGCCGGCACGGCTCCATGAGTTGGGGGCCGGCCAGTGCCCAAGAGATTGCTGGTTCAATTCCCAGTTGAGGCACATGCCTGGGCAGCCGACGGATGTTTCTCTCACACATTGTTTCTCTCCCTCTCTTTCTCCTTCCCCTCTCTCCAAAAAATAAATAAAACTCTAAAAAAAAGGACTATTTCGTGGTGGCCTGGCCACTATCATCCTGTCTCCCAGCTAATCCACGAGCCTTCCTCACGGCCCCTGCCCAGTCCCCATAATCTGTCCCTGCCTCTGCCTTATCTGTACCGCTCCCCACCCCCACCCCAACCCCAGACTGTGTCATGTCCTGTCCTGGACTTTCCACTCAGGGAGTCCCTCCACTCCATGTGCCGTCCTTCCCACTGTCCCCACCTGCCACACTCCCAGAGCCTCCCCAGGGCCAGCCTAGGGTCCACTGCCCCTGAAGAATCTCCCGGGGGTCTCAAGTGTGTGCCTCCCACCAGGTGGCCTCCTCTGGCTCTGGGCCCCCACGACACCACCCAGCTCTCTCCAAGGTACTCGCAGCTATTTACAGCCTGGGCTTATCTTTTCCAGTCCAGAGGGCAGCTCCTCCAGGAAGGGGCTGGGCTGGACTGCTCTCCACCCCTGCAGGGCCCACTGGGCTGCACAGAGCAGGCACTCCCTTCTGCTGGATGGAAGGGTACCTCTCTCCCCCACCCACCCGTCCATTAATCATTTCTATCTAAAGGACTACCCTTCACGTGTGCACAGCATCTGACAGTTTGTGAGGCTCTTTCCAGAACCGTTCCCCATCTCATCTGAGTGAGGTGCAGATGCTTACTTACTCCCCTCTGGCAGAGGAAGACTCTGAGGCTTCCAGAGGCTGTGTGACACTTCCCCCATGTCACTCAGGTGGAAGGACCAGGACTGTTCGAGGACCTCCTGCTGGGGTCAGGAGACTGACAAGGAAAGGAGCATTGGGAAGGCCCTCTGTCTGTGCAGGGCGCAGACCTTCTTGATGGTTCTTCATCTGCCCCTGGGGAGGTCTTGTCAATCCTCAGCTGCCCAGGACAGGGTAATTCTGTCGCCCTCCATGCCCTGCGCCTAATTCATAACCCTTGGGGAGGTGTGGATAATATTTTGCAGAAGGGAAAGGAGGCTTAAGAAGAGTGACTTGCTCATGACCTCAAGCCAATTTCTGCTCCTGGGTCTGCTCCTTACCGTTCCCCTCCACCCCTAGCCATCTATCCCGGAGCCTGTCTGCGTGGACACGAGGTCCCTACTTACAGCCACTTGATGCCGTAGCACACGCCGGTCTGGAGCGCCAGGGCAAAGAGCAGCGCCTCGCAAACCTGCGGCCACACCTTCATCGTCGCGCGGTGGGCGCGTCTGGGGTCGCACCCTGGAGCAGCCCTGCCGAAGTCGCACCACGCCCGGGGCCACCGCAACTCCTCCTCGCGCTGGCTGCCTGCAGTCGGGGAGAGCGGAGGCGGGGGGTTAAGGCGGTGCTCAGGACTGGGGCCGCAGCGGGGCGGAGGGGGGACGTTTTATTCAAATTACAAAGCGGGGGGCGGGGGAGGGGGGTCCCGGTCCGGGGAGGTCAGCGCAAGGCGGGCGTCACCTCCTGCCCCACACAGACCCGGATTCGGCCAGGGTCTGGCTGGAATTAGGTGCCGAGGGTGTGTCCACCTAACTCGGCACCCGGACGCTTCTTTGTGCCACTTGGGCTGGGACCCGGGCTGCGGGCAGGCAAGGAACGGTAAGGCAGGACCGGAGACACCGGAGAGGGGACCTGGTAGAGAGGGGCAAGAAGACTGCAAGAGAGAGAGAGACGCTCAGAGACCGAGGCTGGAAGACAATGAGCAGAGGGAAAGGCGGGGATAGACACTTGGAGACCGGGAGGGACGGAAAGGAGAGGGTGAGCGCGGTCGGGACCGAGGCCGCAGGCGGGCCAGGAAGGAGTAATTCGGGCCCGGAAACTGGGTTCTTATCTCTGCAATTGTAATTATTATATTATGACCCTAGTGATTTTCCTTTCCCACTGGGCCTCAGTTGACCCTCTCTGTATGCCAGGGACACAATTATGATAACGTTCGTTCCCTGTAACAGTATCGCATTTGCTCCTTCCAGCAACCCTGTGAGATAGATGCTCTCACTGCCCCCATCTCACAGATGAGAGGACTAATGCCCAGAGACATGAAATGGGTTGTCCACGCCCGGCGTTCTACTCCCAAGTCTACTCCCAAGTCCTGGTGAGATCACAGACTATGAGAAGACATGGAGGCTTGTTCTGGTCATCAGTTTCTCAGTCTGCAAAGGGGAGACTGAGAAATGGGATGGCAAAGTCTTTTTACAGCGAGAGCTGTTTAAGATGCCGGGTCTCCAAGTCCCTCTCTGGCCGTTCCCCTTCGGAGGGTCAGGGGGCATCCAGGCCAGAGCCCAAGCGGGGCAGCCTGGCTTTGGCTAAGCGGGGAGCGCACCAGGACGGCGCGATGCCGCCTCCTGCCGCCAGGCGGCGTCCCGGGGCCACGGAGCAGCCTCGACTGCTCCAGGGGTCAGGCTGCAGAACCGCTTTCTCCGGCTCTTTTTCTTTACCTTTCCCCTCTTCATTCTTGCCTCATTAACTCCCTTCCCAGCTTCTCCCAAATTTACCAACTCCTGGTGTTCTCTTGGACACATTCACAGTCCCAGCCACTTTCCCCTGGGGAGGAGCAGAGACAAAGGGATTCCTTTCTGAAGGGTGTGGGGAGTTGGGAAAAGGAGGCACCCACCTTAGTGGGGAAGCTTGAGCAGTGGGAGAGAGCTCTCATTTAACTGTGTGAGCTTGGACAAGCCCTGCACCACCCCCAGTCTCAGTTTCCCACTCTGTAAAAATGAGGGACTGGCCTTCGGGCGCATCTGCCGATGCCTCTCCAGCCTCCCAGTGGTCTGCGGGACTGCTGGTCTGCGCGCTCGCCTCGGCCTCGGCCTCGGCGTCCACTGCTCCGCACCCCTGCGTATTGTATGCCTTAAACACGCACACAGATTGGAAACCTCGCAGTTTTCCGGAGCCTTCCGCCATAATCCAGGAGAAGGCAGGGAGGAAACCCTGAATTAAATTTATTTCCTCCTTCGCGGAGTCTCTCCCTAGGTGCCCAACACAGAGGAGCTGGCTACAAACAAAAGTCAAGGCTGGGGGCCTCAGTGAAACTGAGCCCCCTCCTCCCACCCAGCTTGTATTCAAACCTTCTGTCTTCCTGGCCTTGAAAGTTTACCACGCTCCTGAGAAAACGAGAAAAGCGCCAGCTGGATATGGGAGGGAACAGAAAGGATCAAACCTCCAGTCACTGTCTCTCGGCGCCTCCACCTTTCCCAAAGTGTGGGCTTCCCCTCTGCCCCCCGCCCCGCCCCGGCGCCCAGCATTCCTGGGTGGGCAGGGGGAAGGGGCTGCACGGGGAGGGAGGAGTGCGAAGACTCACAGCGGGGTAGAAGTGTCCGGCCCCACTTGCCCTCCCGGGTCACACAGCAAAAGGGGACCCAGACCTCCAGCTACTCCGGCGCTTTCCGAGCCTCCCTGCTGCTCCCGGACTTCTCCCTCCGCCTCCCCAGAGCGACGCTGGGAGAGGCAGTGCCTGGACCCGGCCACTGGGTGCAGATGGGTTATTCCTGTCACGCGTGAGAGCGTCCAGGACGGCCGCGCGGGCCGCTGGGTCACACTCTCGGCCTGCGCCCAGCAGGTCAGGGCGCACTCGCCTCCCCGAGCCCCCGGCCCGCCAGGGGGCGCTAAGTGGGGGCTCGAGGTAGGTAGGCGGCTGCCTGCCGCGCTCGGTGGGACACCCGGCAAGTCCCCTGCTCTTCCTGGGCCCCGGGGTCCCTGCCTGGGGACGGGGTGAGGTGCAGTGTAAGCGCACTCGCAGTTCTGGTTGCCCTGTAAGACATCCACTTGCCGCGGGCAGCCCCCAACTACCTGACCCCAGGCTTTGGGCCTGGCACTGAGCCTCCTGTGGGGTCAGGCGGTGGTGGTCCCGCGTCTAAGCGGTGTCGTTGGACCCTCCCCACGGGGGATGAGGCCCAAGGTATCCCGGTTGCCTCGGGTGAAACACAAGCCCGCCAGCGCCCAGAGATCCGTAGCCGCACCCCCGCTTCAACTGCTTACTGAGGTTACAGGTGGCTCTTGGGCTTGGGCTCTGGAAGCCCCTGGAAGCCCCGTGTGTCTCTGGCGGCCACCCCTTTGAGCCGAGCCTCCCCCACCCCGGGGGCCGGCTCCGTGCGCCAGGGCGGGGTGTCCACACAGCGCGTCGGGTCTGCGCCCGCCGGCCCGAAGCCTGGGGTGGCGCGGCTCCCCGGGGGACCCCACGAGCCGAGCGACCGCTCCAGGGTCGCCTGCAATGCGCAGGGAGGCCGGGCCGAGACCCTGCTTGGACCCGATCGATAGAGAACTGAGAAGTGGGTCGGCTGCCCTGCTGATGATTCGCCGAGTTACCGTGAAACGGTTTTTTGTTTTTGGAAGTGCGAAGGGTGGGGTGGGGGAAAATTCGGGGTGCCTGGGACTACGCCCCCAGCCCGGCCCTGGGCGCCGAGGAGCCGGGAGGGGATGAAAGCACCGCGGCGCCGAGAGGTGGGAAGTGCGGGGCGTGTGCGCGAGCTCGGCCAGATGTGCCCGCGGCTCCAGATGTGCCTCGGGACGCGACAGCACTCGCCTCCTCCCCACCCCCAGCCTGGGGCCCAGGTCCGTAAACAAACCCGGTTCTGCCCCGTCCCCGCAGCTTCTGGGACCCGGTCTCCGAGCGCCGCGTTCACCCGCACCGCCCCCCCCCCCCCACGTTGGGTCCGAGCCGCCTCGGTTCTCCGCCGTCCGCCACTCTCTCCCGCCCAGCCGCACACCCTCCGCGCGAGGTCCAAGTCCCCCGCCCCCGGCATGGCTCGGGCGTGACCTCATCCGCGGCGACCGGGAGGGAGGGGGTCGGGTGGGGGGCCCCCAGGGCCCGGATGGCTCGCGCGGGCCGCAGGAGCCGCACAGGCCACCTCCACGGCTCCGCCACAGACCGCGCGCCCCCGACCCCGGGGCTGCTCCCCACAAGGGGAACGCCTCGCGGAGCCGCGGAGGAGGAGAGGGGCGGAGGACGGCTCGGTTTTCTTAGCGGCGAGCGGGCGCCCAACGGGCTCCCCCCGACTCCTCGGACTCCGACGCCTCCCGCCCCAGCGGGTCCCCGCAGAGCGCCCGCTGGCTGCCCAGTCACTGCTCACCTCCTGGGCGCTCGTCGGCCGGTCGCGCCCGGAGTGGCCGGCTGCCCGGCCGGCCGGGGAGCGGAGAGAACGGCCCCCGTGGACCCGAGCGCTCTCCCGGCTGGGCAGGCGGTAACAGTGCCCTCTTGGCAAAGCCGCGGGGACAAGGCGCTCACCGGGATCCTGGCGAGTAGCGGCGGCTCGGGTCCCGGGGAGACTGCGGCTCGCACTCTGCCTGCTCTGGGCTCTTCCCCTCTCCCAGGGCCTGCACTCGCCCGCGCGCCCCTGCTCTCCTCCCGGCCAGGCACGGTCTCCGCCGCGGGCCGCCCAAACTGCTTTATAAGGCACGGGCAGACGCTTTGATCCGCCCACTCGGCGCGCGGAAACCCCACCGAGCGGCTCTGGCCACGCTCGCCGGGGGCGGGGTCCCCTCGGGTGCCACTGACCCGTGGTGCCAGCGGCTCAGAGGACTTCGCACCCTGTTCAGTTACAAAGAGGGGACTGGCTAACCGTGGCTGGTGTTTACCAGGCGTGCCGACTGCGAGCCTACTGCGTGCCCGTGGCGGCGCGTGGGGCCCAGGTAAGGCAGGTTCCTAAACCTCTCAGCAAGCGGGGCAAAGACTCTCAGTCCATCTGGTTTGAGAGGAGGAAGCTCAAAGGGAAGGCACACTTAGGCCCCATCGGCAGCCCGCGAGGTGTTCGAATCCTGCAGGTCGGTTACTATAGGTGCGGGGCAGCGTTGGCGTCCCAGTCCGTCCTTCCTGGGGCCAGTTCTCACACAGTCTGGAGAAGGGGGAGAGCAGGTGCACGAGCTGGGCGCTGGGAGGCTCCCTGTAAACCTTCGGAGGCAGATGCCTGAGCTTCTGGGGTGAGTGCTGGGGAAGCCTTCAGAGCACCTTGACCCTGGTCCCCAGGGGGCCGACCACCAGCAAAAGACTGATTTTAAAACCTAAAAGAAACTCCACAGCTGCTTCCCGTGTGGTGTGTACCCCGACTGGCACTGCGTTTCTGGGGCAACTTCCCAGGGACTGGTTGGGTGAGCGCCCATCCCCCTCATCTCCACCTTGAGGGTACACCTTCCAGCCTGAGGATTGCACCCCTCCCCCTCTTGCTGGGCCAGGTGCAGAGGTTTCCATGGCTTCCATCAGGGGGTTCCACCAGGGGGACCTCCATCCCAAGGATGGTCTAGTTCATCAGGAGAAGGTAAACATGCACTTCATGGAGAGGGGCTTGTCTCAGGTCCCCCGAACCTCCTGGTGCTCTTTTCCCCGTTCCGTACAGCTGCCCACGAAGCGGCCCACGGGCTGCCCTCCCGGGAAACCTCCATACACAGCAAGCACGTCCGGGTCCACGGAGCCCACTTCAAGCTTTCAGCTGCATGAGTTCCCTCCACACGTGGACAGCCAGTGCCCCGGCACACAGGGCCGGGACACATCACCCACGGATGGCTGCAAACACACTCAGCAGACACATGCACACGCCACAGGCTTACACTCTCTCAACAGCGCATATGAATGAATGGCCACACGCATCTTTGAGATGCTCCCAACCAGATCACACACAAGCACACATGTGCTTCTATGCACACACAGCATCCACGAGTGCAGCACCAGCTGCACACGTACTCCTGCCCACGGTTGCAGGAATGTCCTGGTGAACACCTGCGGTCTGGTGCAGGAGCATCCCGGAGCCCCGCCCCTTCTCCCAGAGCGCTGCGGTCAGTACGAGCTGTGGGAAGCAAAGAGCACAGACGCTTCGGCGAGGTAGTGGGGCTGTGCATAGGGTGTCTAAGAAGGTGAGACAGGGTTGCTCTACCCAAGAGGCTGGGGGCAAAGGCCCCTAGGGGTCAAGAGGGTCCTTAGCTCTTCTGCAGTAGGCACTCTGGCCATCACAGACAGAGACATTCCAGGTGGCCTCTGTACAGCCGGCATGCCCCCTCCTCTAGGTCGAGCTCTCTGCTTGCTAGAAAAGCTAAAGCAGTTGCCTCCACGCATTTGCATAAGTGGTCCTTTGGTGGGAAATCCAGTCTGGCTCCCCACTCCAGGGGGCACAGAAAGCAGTTTGGAGTTATGTAGACTGGGGCTCCAATACTGGCTGCCCAATTTTATTTTTAGCTGTGTGATTTTGAGCAAGTTGCTTAAACTACTTGAGGCCTTAGTTTCCTCAGCCACAAAATGGGAAAATACAATCCCATCAAATCCTTTATGTCCTCCAAGATGGGAATTAGTACCCCATTTCATAGATGTGGAAGCTGAGGCTCAAAGGGGAGAAGCTGGCAAGCATTGGAGCTGATGTTTGAACCCAGGCCTTTCAGCACTGCAGCTGGTGGTCCCGAAGGGAACAGATGGGAAGAGGACAGTGACTTTCTGTTGCCTGGAGAGCCCCTGCCCTAGGCCGGGACGGGGACAGGAGGGTGTAAACGGCCAAACCTTGGATGGATAGTCAAGGGAGACCTGGGGCCAGGGTCTGCCCCTCTGCGCACCGCGGTTCCCCCCCCCCCCCAACCTTGTGTGAGGGAGTACTCGGCCACCTCAGACACCCTGGGATTCCCTGAGACACTTGTGAGAAGTTTTATTTTCATCTTTAGAACCAGCTGAGCTTCCTCCCCCTTCCCTGTTCCTCCTCCTTCCTTCTGTGCGGGGCCTCCTCAAGGAGGAGGCGGTCAGGCCTGTGCTGTCCACCTGGACTGCAGGCTTCCCTCCCGAGGGTGGACGTCTTGCCCTGGGCACTGTGGGCACGCTCTCAGTGGCTGCTGCTGTGGACATTAGTAAACTGTTCTCCTCCTCTGCTACCCTGGGTGATGCTGGTTACCTGATCACCCAGGCGGGCTGGAGACTTCCGGTCAGCAGGCTTCTCGGCCCCCTCCTGACCGCCACTGGTCAGGGGCACACACCTTTACACCCCCACCCGTGCACGCAGCCCATCCAGGGGGCACCCAGGCTGAAAGGACACAGGGGTCGGGAAGCCACAGTTTCGTTCTCTGTGTCAACCTCTATTGACCCCTCCACCCACCTCAGCTTCACTGCCCTGGGACCAAGGCCCTGGCTGAGCTGGCTGGGGCTGAGCTGGCTGTTCCCAGGAGCTCTGGATAGGGACACTGGAGACCTGGTTGTAGTCCTTAGCCCTGTGAGTAGTTTGCTGTGTAACAGCAGATAATTGTTTTGCCCTCTTGGAGTCCCAGCTCCCCCATCTGTAAGTGAGGGGGTTAAACTAGATAAAGGACTTTCTTGCTCCAGAATCCAGGCATTGGGTCTTTTTTATCTTACCTGTGTCACAGGACAGCATGAGCATGGTGGGCACAGTGAGACTGGAGGGGGCTCTTTTCAGCACCAGAGTGCTTCTTAGAAGAGCCTTCCTGGGAAGGCAGGTGAACAGGGGCCTGGGCAGAGCAGTCCAGCCCAGCTGCCCTCTGACCCAGGGGCTGGTGTGCCAGTGAGGCCAGAGCTTCCAGGCAAGGGGGAGGGGGAGCAAAGAGCCACAGGCATGTCATCAGAGCACCTGGGCCTGGGTCTCAGATTGTCCTCCTTCACTTACCCACTGTGTGACCCTGGGCAAGCCACACAGCTTCTGTGATCCTTGGTTTCATTACCCACAAAATGGGAAAACCACTAAACTGTCTTCTCCCAAGGCCGCTGGGAGGTAACATTGAGGGGAAGAAATACCATTATTGACCAAGCACCTACTGTGTGCCAGGCAGTTTCTGTGCCCATGAGCAAGACAGGCCTTGCTCTGCAGATGAGTATGTGGAGCCCCGGCCTGTCTGGTCATTTCTGCAGGATCTCGTATCACAATCAGTGACTGCCGGAGCCTGGCTGCCAACCCAGCACCGTGGGCCGCTGAGCTTCTGCCCAGTGGGTCATGTTCTCCTCCTCTTCAGTTCCCTTGGGGAAGCAGTTGTTGTTTTACAAGGCTCAGGGAGCAGGCTAGGGGTGGGGGGCAGGGTCAGCCGGGAGGTTTCTGTCCGTGTGCACATAACAAAATGCCACCCGTCATGTGGACTGAGGGCGTCTCTTCTGAAAGGCTGCTTTCAACTCTCGATTGTTTAATCGTGGTGGTAGCTGCTCAGGAGACAATGTTTGTGTTTCTCAGGCCTCTTTCAACTCCAAGAGAGAAACCCAATGCCAAGTAGCTTAAACATAGGAGAACCAACTGGCTTGCACAGCTGGGGGAGAAACTGGCGTGGCTGGTGACCCGAACAGAGAGCTGTACACGCCAGGGCTCGGGACTGGGGCTGAGCTCCGTGGCCCCCAGGAATGCGGTCTGAAACTCACTTCTGCTTCTTGCTGCTCTCTTTCAGCTGATGTGGGCCTCATTCCTTCCCCCTGGTATGTAGCCATCAACAGCTCCAGTTCAGAATTCCAGGCAAATGAGAACTCCTGCCTTCCTGAGCCTCTATATGAGTCTCAGGGAAGGCAACTGATTGATCTGCTTGAGTCACAAGCCCTTCCATTGACTGACAGCTGATATTGCCACCAGGAGCCCTGGGAATCACCAGGGGACAGTGCCTGAAAGGGGTGAATGGGAAGCAGTGGGCCAGTGGGGCACTTGTGTTTAGGTTGGCAGTTCCTTCTAGGGTTGAGCTTCCACTTCTCTGATGTGATACAGTGTTTTTGCACCTGGGTCTCAGTCTGCACACACACAGGGCTGGGGTCTCACCACACCAGTGCCCCCACTGAACACAGAGAGAAACTGAGGCTGAGAGAAGAGAACAATTTCTCACTGGTATGAACTCTTTCTGGGAAGGCCAGTGAGGTAGCTTTTTGATGACACCAATTCCTTGCACCCCAAGACACACACAACCCTTTGAAATGTGACTCTATTCAGAAGTGAAGTCTGTTTCCCCGCCCCTTGATCCAGGCTGGCCTTGTGACTCGCGTGGACCGATACATGTGACAGAAGGGAAGCTGTATGTGTTCTGAAGCCCAGGCCTCAGAGGCCTTGTCGCTTCTGCTCTCACCCCCTTGGAGCCCAGCCAAGCTCAGGCCGGACTACTAAGTAATAAGAGTCCAGTGCAGACAGAGGCCCTGAGGCCAAGTCGAGAGCAGCCCAGCCGGCCCGCCCATCCCAGCAGCACCCAGGCCTGCTGGCCCACCAGTCAACGTGACAGGCCCAGTGAGATCAGCAGGACTGTCCAGCGGGCCAGGACGTTCCGACATGGTTTGTCGAGTAGCCAGAGGTACCTGAAGTGGCCAGGCTTAACTAGTTAAAAACCTAAAACTATGCACCTGCCTAAGGTCATTTCAGAATTTCAAAGTGCAGCCACTTTCCCTGTAATGTCCCTGAAGTTCTGGCCACCAGAGCCCC